TATTAATCCTCAGATCCAATGGGAAGTTGAACCTTTGATCTGTTTAGGGTACTGTGTATTTGCATTTTATAATGAGATCAAAGCAAGGTCCAGGGCCCCTGCAGAAGGCAGTCCTGTGCACCATCTATGCACACTGGACGGTTTACACACCAAAGCTATATTTCCCTCTTAACAAGATCATGTAAGAGCTATGGACCTCAGCGAAAATGTACTGGGAGATTCAATGTTTGTTAGGCAATCAACAGTAGCCAGCGTTCTCTAGCAGCTAATTTTCTCTCCTAAACACAGGTGTGGAAAGGATAAAATAAAAAAAACAACAACATGCCAGTAGCAACAATCTCCTCAACAGTTAAAGTTCAAGAGGAAACATTTCAAGCATTTTTAAACTGGTTGAGAATTGCTCCAGATTTTCTTTGGCATTCTTCACCTGGAAGAAATGCAAAGGGGAATTTACACACTTGCCTGAAGTGAGCCTACAAGGAGCTGGGAGAAGGTTTGAGATGAGCATGGAAGTCAACATTTGAGAGTGTATGTGGAGTCTCTATTCAATACTGTTCCTGACCTTTTTTTTTTTTTAAAACAGAAAACATACCAGAAAAGAAACTGCACGCACTGTCACTCTGTCTCTGGCTGAACACAGTCACAGGTTACTTGACACACATCTATGGTTTGTTCAGACTGTTCCACTAGTCTTCTACCAGACTGTCCATCATGATGCACGCAGGTAGCGGCTGACATGGGGAATACCCCCTCGTGAAGCCACGCGTCTGCAAATCATTTATGCAACAATTGTCCCACAAACAGTTGTAGCGAAAGTGAGAGAACGCTGATTTGCCATTCATGACACACAAGACAGCATCCGTGAAGAGACGAAGCAGATTTGAGAAGCTGTGACAACAGACTTGAAAACTAAATTCAGTTTCTATTCCATTCATTCAATTACAAATAATTTTCTTTGAATTTATAAAACTTCCAACATATATGCTCTTAAATACTTGAAGTATTAAACAGTCTCATCTTTGCACTCACAACGGGCAGAAAGACATTCTTCTGACCTTGAAGTGGGAGAGGATAGTTCCCATTTACCTTTTAATCTCAGGACTCATCTGGGCCAGCTTACATTGCCCGTAATGGCTTTATAATGGAAGAGACTGAGCAACAGATATGAATTATGACCAAGAGGACACAGAAAAATCACACAACAGTATACTATATCTGCATTATAGAAAAATGCTTCAAGCAAAAGCCTATGGAAATATGTGTTTAGGAGTCCTAGTATATGAAATATCCTTAAGGAATCTGGCAGATTCTCAAAAAGTCATACTTGCCATAAAAAGGAACAGACGGACACGGAAGCTACAGTGTAGAGCCAAATCATGAAAAAAAGGCTGCTTAGACAAACCTGCAAAATATGAAAAGGCATACCTCAGCGAGCTGGACAGGGTGTTAAGAAAAGCACCATCTAATGGCTTGCTCATAGATGTCAAGCACATATTCTGCACTCTCGAAGGCAGCGTTCACATTTTCTGACCTTGATGAATTATCTGTTTTTATTGACAGCACTTATTGATATGTTTTTTAAAAGCGCAGGCTAATGGAGTTCTATTGAGATGACTAAATAAGTTGCTGGTGCCCAGATTAGCCTGGTCTCATCTCGCCGGCACAGCTTGCATTATCATACAGAACAGACGCATGCGTGCATTGAGTCCAAAATTCCTGCATCTGACATCTCCAGGGGAACAGAGGATCGATGACTACATCCGACCTACATTCACCCCACCCAGGCATGCTTGCCTCAGACTAATTACGCACAAACATGCACAGTCAGTCACACTATAGGTGGATTAATGTCATAGTCATAGTAATAGTCACAGTACAGGGAAACGTTACTACTGCATGCATATTACAGAATTCTGCAATTTCAAATAGGTGTGCATGCTACTTTCCAAAAGACTCATTTCTGAGGGTTTTAAAGCCAAAAAACCGACACGACAGTACAAGCTCCCAGTCACCTTCTGATGATCGGGAGAGAAACCTTCCCCAGCTTTTCCACAGGCTTCAATGAAAATATCATTTGTCTGATGCGTTGTGAAAATTCTCTCAGCACAAAAACGTTAGGAACAAACCTGAGGCTTACGGAGCTTGTTCAAATGCCCCGGGCACGGAAACAGCACAATTGGATTTCATTCAAATGTTTTATGCAATGAAAATATTTTCTACATACTCTAGATACATTCTATCAGATTCTCAGAAAAAAAACTATGGCAGGGAAAACACCCCATTAACAAGAACTGAGAAAAAGATTGTGACGCAGGCTCCATCCTATGAGCACATCTTCAAACCGCTTTTTCAGTGTTTCCTGTGCTGTACAGCATCCTGGTTAGAGTGATGTGGTTTTTCACACTTATAAATGTGAGGGGTATTTCTACAGTTGCAGCCCACATTTAGGCCAGAATCTGTTGATCTATGCAAGCCTTTACTAAACTAGAAACTTGCGTCAATCTCCATCAGCGATGACTAATTCTACAACTTGCTCCTATACCGAAGACATCACTCCAGTTGTGTCAAATCTACATCACACCTGACACTGAAAAGAAACTCCTTTCATTTTATCTATTTCTGTTAGTTTTGTCTCTGTGGATACAAAACAACAACAATGAAATGGTAGACTTCACAAATAATCTCTAATCAATAGTTCCATAATCCAAGGGCCTGTCGGTCCACTGAAAACAAAAACAAGAACATAAGAGCTTTGACAGATGTAATTAATGGATAAATATATTGAATAATACGCATTATGTACTCAGAACTCACTGGGAAGCAGTACTGATAGTGCATGATCATCTGAGTGGAATAAAGTGCAATGTATATAACGCACGTAACCCTTTTCAGTAACTGAATTACCACACTTAATTTCAAAACCTTTCTGCAACCACTTAATACCAAATTTGTTCTACTGTAATATTACATATGATGCAATATTTAAAATGTGTTTGCTGTGACCTACAACTCACAACCCTGCACTAACATCAGTTTTGCTTGATGGCGTAAAGTTGTCAAATTAAAGAAAAACATCTTCCATGATCTAACACTGCTTGAAACTGCATGCTTACTTCCAATATTGGACATTTGCCTTGGTTAGTTAATCCCTAAGAGGATTGAACCCATTGGCCGGTTAGCTGTAGACAGACAAAAAAATGCATCTAAAATGCCAAAATTGCTCCCTTGATATTATACATTTTAATTTACATAACGACAATTAGGATTTCATGACATTTCCAAATCTTGACTGTTATTTATTCATTTTAGGCATTCAAAACAAGGTTTTAATTGCACAACATCCCTACTGACCATGGGAATTCCTGAAATCAGCACCTGATTTCATGATAAAGCCACATTTGACAACAAAAGAACCAAAAGCACAGCCACACACATTAGCCAGGCTGTGGTAAATTAATATCATGAAGTCCTTTCTGCTGCTGCATCAACAGTGGAACTGTAAGTTAGTGGGTAGAGCAAAGCTTCAACCTTGCCAGCAGAAACAGTTTGAGGCCATCCACTCTAAAAATGTATAAAAAGTGTTTGCATTCAAGTGCATCGGATAAAAGTGTCAACTAAAGGTTGTATATTTCAGTTATTTTAGTTGGGCTAGTCAGTCACACCCTCATATTTCCGAAACAATAAAGTCTGTGGACGTGCTTAAGACTTCACCAAGTCGACTTCAACTCACCTAACTTATGATTTACTCATTGCTGCTCCCTGGACACAAAGAAATATTAACTGTTTTTATTAAAGTACATACAAACTGACCATTGAGTGCTTCATGCTCTGCAACCAGATTTGTTAACAACCTGAACTGCTGCAACCTTGTACCAACCTCTAAATTGTTAGTTTGCAATGAATGGTTAAATTCAATGCCAGAGAAGGTAGGCGGTATATAAAACCCAGAGGAGAGCTCTGTGTTGAGTGAAAATGCCTGTAACTCAATGCACGAACACATGCAGACTGACAGCATATACACTGCTATGTCGCTGACAACTAAATAAGGGATGATGAAGGTAAGACAGGAAACAAAAAGATACAAAATAAAACAATTCATTTCCGTACAAAAGGCCTCACCACAAAAGCTACAATCAACGCATTTACAACAACACATGCTTTCTCATCTCACACACACACACACACACACACCTCAATGCAGCTTGTAAACCAGCCAGATCTTGTCGCCCCAGGAAATGGGCTTCATACATCTTGTCTGACTGCAATAAAGCAGTGCCTAAGATTCTATTTCCAATAAACGTCGACTGATTGGAAAACTCATTCTAATATCAATTTCCATCTGGGCCCTTTAAAAGGCAATCAGCATAGCTTCATCTCGGTATATCATGGGCTCCTTGAGATGATGACACAGCACTGGCTCTCTCCTTCTGCATAATGGCCTTCTCCTATCAAGGCATCTGCAATGAATAATACCACCCATGAATGGGCTATTTAGTCTGTGTTCGCACAGATAGGGGCCACTTCTCTGAATATTAATCCAGGGTTTACACTTCATATGGTTCTCTCAGGGCTGCACCATTTTTCATTCGGAGGAGTAAGGCACTTAGTGTGATTTGGCACACTCATAGTTTCTCTCTAAGCTTTCTCAGAAGTGACAATGGTGATTACCAATGGCATCTCACTTTGTTTAAGATGCCTGGCGACCACAAAACAATTATTTAAGTCAAGGAATATCAATTTTAACTGTTCTACAAAATTCTGTCCACAGCTTACTACAAAATGTGAGTTCAAAGAAGAATTTCCACCAGTGAAAAAAATGATTTAAGTCACTGTATGGTCTGCTACTGCCAAAAAAACAAAAGGACAACCAGTGAGTGTGTCAGTTAAAGTTAGAAGTCACACTATAACCAAAAAGCAACTCTATAAGCATCATGATGGTAATGAACGTTTACACCTGCTATATCGGCTTAAAATAAAGGCCAGATGCCTCTTTCTCTCACCTTCCAGCCACTGCCCGCCTCCCTGTAGTAGGGAAAGTTATCACAGATCCACTGGTAGATCTCACTCAGTGTCATCTTCTTCTTTGGCGAGCTGTTGATGGCAAACGTGATGAGACTGGCGTAGCTGTAGGGCGGCTTGCCGTCCTTGTGTTGCTGCACCTCCTCCTGGTCCAACGTGGTGTTAGGATCCAGTAGGGTACTCTTCTTGCCCATGCCAGGCCCGTGGGCATTCTGGGCGTCCGCCTTGCGGATGGCTGCCTGCATGGTAAGCTGAGGAAGCCAATCCATGGAGGTCAGGCTGCTCTCCAGCTCCGACGTCATGGTGACGGCAGGCCGGGCAGTACGGGGGTGGGGAACAGGTGGAGGTGGTGGTGGTGGTTGCTGTTGGTGCTCGGTGACTGACGGAGAGTGGACCAGGTGTGGAATAACAAACATAGACGACTGACAGGTTGAGGATCAAGTCTCCCTCAGCTCAAGGCATCAGCATGACGTCTTCTGTAGGTCAACTCTGGAGAAACAGGAAATAGACGTGCCCTTATTAGTCAACTATTCTTTGTTACAAGGAGCAGCTAAACATTGTAGAGAAAAAGATATGCATATCAGCTGTACTGTAAAGAACGAATAGAAATGCAAGCGAGAAAGCAACTCTGAGCAGTTTGCCCAACATCAAAAACCACGTTTCTCTGTAAAGTATGCTTATATTCGCTGTGCAGGAGATCACAAGCCCACCACTTTCTCCACCACTTGCTGCTCTCAAAGCTGACTCATAGCTGGGACTCCATCTGTAGAGAGAGAGTAAATGCCAAGCAATTGTTTTCACAACTGCCAGCCAAATGGGGGAATGGCTCAGGAGGAATTCCGACTCTCTTGAGGGTAGTAAACCCCCTCTCTTTCTTCCCTGGCTGCCAGCTTGCCTGCCACCTCCCCCTTCCTCCCCCAAAACGGAGCCTCTGCCGTAAACAAGCCAGCCTCGTCTGTCCTCAGCCCTGTGTGTGTCAGCCGTGCTGTGCAGAGTGCAGCCCACAACAGCCTGTCTCTCTGTCCCTCTCGGCACACTGCCCTACACGTCTTAAAATAGAGGGGCAGAGTAGAAAGGCCTAAAGTTACAAACATAGGTGAACACAGGCATCTGTGGGGTTGAAAAAAGACAGGGGGGGGGGGGGGGGGGGGGCAGAGCAGGCGGGAGAACGAGAAATCCTCACCAACTTGTGGGATTTTTTCTCTTGACTAAACATGCTTGCACAAGTGTGCCTTTTTGTGTGTGAGTTGGAGTGTGCACTCAGGCTGTCAGGCTGGGAATGAATACAGTCTTGATGGCACTCAAGAGGTCAAAATACTGTATCTAGTATCATTTGTGTGCAATGTTTAATTATAATCAATTATTATAATTGAATCAATTTTTTTAGATTAATACATTGAGATTAATCTGAAACATTTTGGCTAAATATGATTGATCAAAATGACATTAACTCCAGATCTTTTCATGGCTGTAATCTTTGTCTTTATCACAACATGTTACTTTTTCAAAATGCTTTATAGCTGAAATAACTAATTAGCAGATAGCTTGCATGGAATATTTGAAATCTCAGATTTGTTTTATCTTTATCTATCTTACTTCGTTAGTGAGCAAAAAAGGGGGTGAGGAACTAAAAACTATTTTATGGACCTCTGCTGTCCATTTGAGATGCAGCAGGAATAGTTAGAAATTCCTAAATTGGGCAAACTGCTTTGGCGGCAGTTGGTCACAAGCAGTTTTTGGTCGTCCCTTTTAATTGATCTCTCACAGCGGGGGTTAGCTGGTGCCCAGCCGCCAATTCAATATCCTCTATCAGTGTAGACCGGCGGAGTCAGATGATGAAGGCATTTCTAAAACATCCAAACAGAATTCTGAGAAGGGAAAAACCAAATCCAGTTGGGGGAGATCATTAATGGAGTGGAGCAGTGGTCTTAAATCTTTTCTTACAGTCAGTGTTGGGTTTCATAAGGCACTGTAAATTTTGTTCAAAGCAAAATGCATTTACATTTTTATCTATTTGATTGCGGTTGTGGTCACCTTGAATTCACGTCAGTAACCATGCGTTTATGGAAAAAAGTAATACCAAAGGTCTGAAAAAGCTTTAAGTGCACAAGGCAGCGTATTTAGTCATATTTTGGCCAAATCATGAATGTTTGGAACATACTGGCTGTGAAGGTGGACTGGCGAGTTCTTATGGATGTTTTGATACTTTATTCCCACTGTGAATACTTGTCATCTTTGAAATCTAAAGTAACTGACAGAAACAAATGCTTACGGCCACCTTTCAAGCCTTTTGATACTCAAGACAGATTTTGGGGTTGAATCTCACTTTAATCTGTTCACTTGGAAAAGAGCTGGATATTTACTTTTGACTGTGCTTTTTTTATTCTTCCTTCATGTTTGTTCACATATTGGAGAGCTTGATGATGAAAACACCGAAGGCTTTGAAGAACCTCTCCCAACCGCTGTAGTCATGATCAGACTGATAGATGAGCACACTTGCTGACTGACTACCAACAGGTGAGTCAGCCTAATGGTGGAGAACAGTTCCTCATCAACGAAAAGACAAACAAATCATACACAACACATCTCCACCCTGTAACTGAAACAAAGGTGACTCACAAGCTGATACTGACAGTATTTTTCCTCTTTGAATGGCAGCCTGATATTTATAAGTATGAATTTGAATATCTGCAGCCCTACTCAATGGGCCTAAATACGTTATGTTTGACTGATCTCAGGTGAATTCAGTCGTTAGCAGTTTAAACTCCGCCGCACTTTTAATACACTTCTTAGTTGGACATATTGCAAGCACAATACAGGAAACAAAATCACTCATTTGAATCTACGCAACCCTGAGTCAACTTGTGAAACCTTAACAAAATCCAGTAGTTACAGAAATATGCTTCTCGTTTTTGCTTATAGACTGACACCACAAATTATTTTAACTATTAATTATTTTATTTTGTTGACTGGATGTGTCACACCTTTTAAAAGATGTTGCTAAACATTTAAATATATTGTTATACAATAGAGCTGGATACTTGATTAAGTGTTTCAAATCATTTTAAAGTGAAGATTTGCAGCTTTTTCTCTAATATATATCTAAGACATTTATCTATCTAAATGTCTTAGATATCTAGACAAGACAAGACATTTGAAGACATCACCTTGGGATCTGAGCAACTCTGCAGGGCGCACTTCTCAAATCTTTGCCATTACATAGACTAAACAATTAATGATTAGTTCAGAAAACTGGCAGATTAATCTTTAATGAAAATATTTAGTTGCAGCCTTACAATATAATTAAACTGGACTACAAACTTACCAGAATGACCAGACATTTAAATCCCTCATCTGAGTGTCTGTTAAACTGGATTGCATTAGATTTAGGTTGGTGTACCTCAGCGTAATGATCTATTTAAGTTCATTCATGCTGGTCTGGATGTAAATGTATTCATTGTTACCAAATGCTCAGTATGAATGGGGATAGAGAAGAGGAAGACAGGGCCTTCTGGTGGCCACCGAAGGTGAGCTGACAGACAGAGGTTGATGAAAGGGGCTCCACCCGCTACACGGAGACGCATGCCATTTGACCCTCTACGCTAATGATCCAGCTGCTACATAATCTGCAGGGCCAAGTCAGTGTCTTAATTAGAGAACCTTGGGCTGTGGCAAGAATGATGAAGCGCAACACAGGCAGGCAGTAAGTCGGCCCCCTTGCTGCTTTCATTACGCTGCCAGCCTGTGGGACAGTCAGAGCAGGGACAAGCCCTGGCCTGCTGCCACCTTAGGGAGGACTGTCTGAGTATGTTCACGGGTCTGGGGGTAGGAAGAGGAGTACTGAGGAGGAGGGAAAGAGGAGGAGTGGAAAAGCCAAGGGAGATGAAGCAGTAGGGGAGGGGGTGATGGGCACTACGATGCTGGCATCAAGCCTGGCAGAGAGCAGAAAGTGGCAACAGGGTCTGCATCCGAAAGGTCTTAGAGTCCAGGCGCTATGATTATGAGGCCACACACATGGAGCCACTTTGATCTGGCTCTAGGAAAATGGGGTTCTGTTGCTGCCGGCGCCAAAAAAACTTCTCTCTCTCTCAACTTTAATTTGTTTTTCGAATGGAGCACTGAGAGTATTTTCGAAGGATGAGAGAGAGAAATGGATGGTCAAATTCATTCTCTATTCAATACTCAGAGTTTCTTTATCCTCCAGGGATTAATGGCAGATTTAGTTCTGAATGAGAAACTGACAGCGTTTTTGAAACATCTTAATTTACCAACTTCTTGACAGGACTTATCAACGTTCCAGCTGCCAACAGAGCACTGACAGCAAATCAGTGATTGTGTTTTGTGTCTCAGCTACTAAGTCTGAAGTGGCTCAATCAAACTGACAGCATGGTTATTATACATGTGCCAGGCATCCTTTTATTCAACAATCTCCAATGAGGCAACAAGCTGAGTAACGACCAGGGATTACTCAACACAACATAGCAGATTACGTCAACATTAGGCAAATGCGTACTGAGATGCAAGTCAGCAACTGCGTCATAAAATCAGATCTGTTCCCCATCTCTGCTATTGCAAAATTGATGTATGTACTTAACAAGCACTTAAAAATTTTAGTACCCCTAACAATGCATGGCCCAGGATGAAATTAATATTTCAAGTGTGATATTGTTGATGAATGGCACTTAACTGTCAACATTTTATACAATGACCACCCATTTCATTTTAATTCTAATTTAGAAAGTATGGACGTTTTATAAATGTGTATGTGTCTGGAACATATCTGTAATGAGGTCAGTATACCTCAACCAGTACTTGTGCTCCCGGTCAAGTTTATTTTTTTGTTGCTTCAACGGGGCGACAATCGTTATTTTAGCCAGTGAAAGTTAGCGACCATTAGCGCTGGCTAACATGAGAAGCTGCTACATGATGTTTTCAGTCAGTCAATCACAGGTGGGCTCAAATCATTTTTTACAATCAAGTGAGACCTAGTCAAGACTGGGTCAAATAGCCTGATCTAACAAGTAACAAGACAAAACAACATCATTAGGTACAATATTTCCAAATGGTAAATAATTGCTTCTATATTAATGTTTATTGTCTGCTATGTAGCAGAAGGGAGTTACCAACTCAATTTCACTATATAACCTGTTATATTGTGACAAAATAAATCTACCTACCTACGCCTGAATGTAGTATACACAAGGCATGTTATTTTTTGTGATTTGTGGGTTTAGTCACTTTTTTGTTAGCTGTTAACAACATCAGGGGTTAATGCTACATCTGTGTCGTCCTCTATGTAAATGCTATGGTATGGTATCTTTTTTTCATGTCATTTGCTTTCCCTACAGTTAGAGATGGGTACTGGTTTTACAACTTCTTACAGCAAAAAGAACTTGATGGTAAATATACTGTTCCACATATTAGTTATTGTTTCGTTGCGTTTGCTATTTGACTGTGAATAATCTATCGTCCAGCAGTAACCAAACATC